AACTCTCATAATACACAACAGTTCAGGGAATCGTTGCTGCTAGGCGTTTGACACCAATCACGGCGCAGGCGCTGCACCCGTCCACGCATCTCTCTGCAAACATACTTTATCATCATTCAAGTGAAGTCGCAGTCGTTTGCAACGTCCAGCGTGATCGCGTAAACCCCCTGCTGCGGCGACGAAACACCTCGCAACAGTAGGTACCAAGAGGAAAAAACGTCGCAGAAGCAAAAGTAAAACGTCACTTTATCCGCACGGTCACTCTTCTAATGTGCACGCATATGCATGCGCAGCCACGCCAGCCAGCAGCCGGCATGAATTGTAGCAGTACCCAACACTTCCAAGGACAGATGCACCTGGTGCCAAAGGCATACCTCCTGGTGAAAACGGCTAGCGATCCTAACGCCACAGAAGGCTTCGCCAACCCACGGCCTTTAGTGCGCGCTTACGAACTGCGCAGCGGCGCTCTGCTCGCACGCGTATGCCCCCGTGCATTCCGCAAAATAATGTGCCGGAGGAAATGGCAACGCTAACGCCAACTGCAAAACGATGCAGTTCGTCGCATACTGTGTGTCTGTCTAATCGCGTCATGCTGGGAGGCCAACGAACGTACGAAAAAGGTCAGCACTTGCCCAAACCACCACATGCGCTCAGAGCGATGGTCAGCCGCGTGAGTCTGCCTGCTGTGTTGTAGCGCTGCGGCGAATTCGCCATGATATGAAGAGCAGGCACCAAAATCAGTGGCAAGTTTACAAGCTGCATCTACTCCAAACGCAAACCACCTGGACGAATCTTGCAAACGCGGAACACCAGCGTGTACTGAAGGTTTAAGGTTTTCTGCTACTACCCAGTGGTTGCGCAATGAGCTACAGCGTTCGTTGTCTTTCGTGCAACTGCAATGCGTGCTTACGCAGGTCATGTTAGAGGCATCACCGGCAGAAATCTGCCCTTCACAATCCCCCACCTCCACAGAACCACCACCATCATAAATAACCCATCTTGTCGTCAATACTGCTAAGCGTTCGACACAATTCACCATCTAGCCCCTGCTGTCTTCTACCACGTATTGCGCAAACCCCCACTGACCCAGCGATTCCCTGATTTATTTTGTATGAATTTCCGATAATGCACACGGCGCAACACCAAAATATCCTGTCAACGTAGAAACAGACGAAAAGCAACATTAAAGCAAAACGCGATTCCACTCTTCTTCCTGCACTGCAACTCCGCACATCTGCACATGTACACGTGCGCAACTCTGCCTGAAACCACAATACCTCGAACAGTACCCAAGACCGTCATGGAATAAATTATTCATCTCCATGGGCTTACTTCCTGCACAAAACAGTGCCCTATCAGGACCCCACATACACCATCACAACACCGCTGCCGTACTCGCGCGCACACAAAATGCATACCCCGACGATGGTCACACATAAAAGCTGAATGACAACTACAAAACCACAC